ATCTAACCTTTCTTCCGCCTTCCTGGCCACCCCAAACCCGGCTCTGACTGGCGATGGAAGCTCCTCTCCTCTCTGCTCCCAGAAGTCTCTCCACATCTCAGGAATCTCCGGGGCCTTGGCTGGCGCGCTGGGTGGCTGACCTGGGAGTGCTCCTGCTGCCTCCGATCTCTGCCTCTCCTGCTGCTGCTCCGGGAGCTCCCCCGCTGCCTCCAACCTCTGCCTCTCCTGCCATATCTCATCTATCCGCCTGGTTCGTCTCGCCCTCTTTTATTCAGCCGTCTCTCCAGCTGGCACCCTTTCCCTTGTGCGGAGGTCAACCCTCTTTGGGATCTCTGCTTCCATCTCCTTCTCGGGCTGGCATGACTCTTGGCGTGTCCTCTCCAACCTCTATCACTTCCTTCCCTGCACGTCTCCCCTCATCGCCCAGCCCTCTCTCTCGCTGAGTACGCCGGACCTCTTCCTGTGGTACCTCCTCCCGTGGCATCTCCTCTCATAGTATCTCCCCCTGTGGCACCTCATCTCGTGGCACCTCCTCTCGTGACACCTCCTCTGCCTGCTCTCCATGCCCCTCACCCTGAAGCGACGCCCTCCACCGAGAAATATCTAAATGCATCTCCAATTCCCTCAAGGGCCCCTCTKAYGCTVGTGRCTYCCCCTGTGTGTGTGCTGGCGACCTCCTCAATCCACCCTCAGTAAAACGATGGAACTCCACTGGCCCCAACCCACACTCAGGGTATGCCCCTCGCTCCTCATCCTCTGGCTCATGCTCTCTCCTGGCTAGGGCCTTTCGTCCTCCTCGAGATGGTCTCGCCTCCCTGGGCTCAGGGTCCCTCGGCCTCTGACTCCTCTGCGGCCTCTCGACTCTGGGCTGAGGGAGCTCTGGTCGTCGAAAGGCCTCTCTCAAATGTGCCCTGCAGCTCTCCCAATCTCGTGCCATGTCCCTGAACTGCATAACCAGTGGCGTTTCCGCCTTCCTAGTCCAGAGTGGTAGTGTCTGCATCCAATCATCTCTCTGTATGCCCTGCTCTTGCATGAACCACTCAAACGCGGGGATGAAGTCCGACGCATTTCCAATCTCCAGGCGGATCGGCCTGCCATCAGGTCCCACAGGCAAGGGTCGCAACTCCACCATCCTCATCTCCACCTCCTGCCTCGTCGTCGCCTCCCTACGAATCCTGGCAATGGGCTCTTCGAACCTACCTGCTCCCCTCAATCTCTCAATCGCCTGAGCGACGGTCCAACCCATACGCCTCGCATGCTCCCAGAAACCGTCCAGGAATAGCTCGATGTCCCCATCATTGTAGACTGGAGTACTCTCTCGATGGCGAGACCCATGCCGCTCATATCCTCCTGATGCGCCTAACGGCCTCTGAGGCGGCCGTGTCCCTTTCCCTCCTCTTGGCATGRCTGTCTTCGTAAAGTCAGACCTGCACAACAGGCGAAGGAGACAACAGACATACATTGGGGTAAGCAAGCAGGTGATAATCAGAGCAAGCTCAGACCAGACCACACTCATGCAGCATGTATTCTTCCTAACCTACACACCCTGTTACTTCTATTCTAAAGGCGGTCAGGTCATCTCTCTTACCTCTTCTCTCGCCACAAATTTCTCCAGTCGCGTTCCAGATACCCAATCCTTCCACTCAGTCCCATTTAACTCCTCGATCTGGTACGCTCCGAAGTCTCCGACCCGTGCGATTCGGTAGGGACCTAACCACCTCTTATCGAGCTTCCTGGACCACTGCTTCTCTAGCGATGTATCGTAGAGAAGCACGACATCCCCGACTGCCAAGGGTACATTCCTCACTCGCGCAGACTGATCCCATCGAGCCTTATCATCCATACGGCTTCTCGCCACCTGATCAGATGCCTCCTGGATCCTTTCTTCTATCGCCCCAACCTGCCGCGCCCGAATATCGAGCAACTCTTCAAATGACAGGTTAACTTCCAGATCCTGGCGCCTCCATGTCTTAAGAAAGCTTTCGATAGGGAAGGTGGCATGCCTTCCGTACCACAGCGTCGCAGATGCGTACTTGGTGGATCTCTTTACTGTAATGTTCTCGACAAAGAAAGCCGCCCTTAGGTATCTTGGCCATTGAGTAGGCCTACCTTCGGTCCATTTGGCGAGGAGATTCGTAATCGTACTATGTCCTCTCTCTACGGGAGCATTTGCCTGGGGGTGCGCGGCCGTGGTGTAGTTGGCTGCCACACCATACCTTGATAACAGTTCTTGCACCTCCTGGCAGGTAAACTCTGATCCCCTATCCATCACGAATTCCCTGACGAAAGGATAACGCAGGTAGTACTCCTCGATGCAGCTCACCAGGACTGACCCGGTCTTTGTGCGAATAGCACGCCCGTCTACGAACCCAGACAGGTTATCGCGCGCATCGAAGATATAGTTATAGCCTTGATCCCCAAGTGGCATTAAAAGTAGATCGAGATGCACTACAGCCCCGACCTCTCGCTCTAGCCTGGGATGCAGCGGCTCTCCTTGCCTTAAACGGGATCTTTCCTGGCAAGGTACGCAAGATCGGCAGAACTTTCCGACCATATCCATCATCCCATCCCATTAGTACAACTCACTTATCTTGGCATTCGTGGCTTATACCCCTCGATGTCCTCCTGCAATACCATCGTGAAGCGCTGCTACGACGTCGATCTGACGATTCCTACCGCAGACGACTCTCCTGGGATTCCCCACTTCCCTTCTCACGAAAAGGTGACCGTCTCGCACTAAGTAGCGCCGCAGCATGCTTTGAGCCCTATCGCTCGCATCTCTTAGCCGCATTTCACATGACAGAAGAAGCCCCAGCTCTAGGTTGATTCCGTCGTACTCCTTTGCACGAAAAGCTTCCTTAATTTTCCCTTCCTCGAACTCGTCGTTCTGACTCTCGGGTATTTCGTTCACATTCCCTGCCGGGTTCAACGAGCCTGACTGGTCTAGGCTTTCCTGCAATAACGTATTGACGAGGAGATACATTCCTCCCATCAGGTCCTTATGCCGTTCTACCTGGCCAGGTCCTTCCTCAATCGTCCTCATATCCTCCACCAGGCTATGCGAGCTGGCCAGCGCTAATTTCATCATCCACTGAACATCCTTGAGGACCAGCTCGGTCCTCCTTTCATATCCGCTCAGCGCTCCCCAAATAGGATAGCCTACACAGCTGGGCACTCGCGGCGACCACTTATTGATATGGAGGCGAACATCTTCTTCCTGATCCAGAAATCCATCAACTGGGGGCGTATTCTCCACCGCCTCCCCTTCCTGCTTATCCCAGTTGATCCGACTCAGCCCGTCTGCCCGGTTCTTACTACCAAGAATCCGTTCTAATTCAAAATTGAACATCCAGATGTACGTCAGCCATCTGGCAATCGTCGGATCCGATGGAACGTAATTCCTTAGAGAGTAGGCCAGGGCGGTCGGATCCACTCTCAAAATAAATCTTCTGNCAGGTTAACTTCCAGATCCTGGCGCCTCCATGTCTTAAGAAAGCTTTCGATAGGGAAGGTGGCATGCCTTCCGTACCACAGCGTCGCAGATGCGTACTTGGTGGATCTCTTTACTGTAATGTTCTCGACAAAGAAAGCCGCCCTTAGGTATCTTGGCCATTGAGTAGGCCTACCTTCGGTCCATTTGGCGAGGAGATTCGTAATCGTACTATGTCCTCTCTCTACGGGAGCATTTGCCTGGGGGTGCGCGGCCGTGGTGTAGTTGGCTGCCACACCATACCTTGATAACAGTTCTTGCACCTCCTGGCAGGTAAACTCTGATCCCCTATCCATCACGAATTCCCTGACGAAAGGATAACGCAGGTAGTACTCCTCGATGCAGCTCACCAGGACTGACCCGGTCTTTGTGCGAATAGCACGCCCGTCTACGAACCCAGACAGGTTATCGCGCGCATCGAAGATATAGTTATAGCCTTGATCCCCAAGTGGCATTAAAAGTAGATCGAGATGCACTACAGCCCCGACCTCTCGCTCTAGCCTGGGATGCAGCGGCTCTCCTTGCCTTAAACGGGATCTTTCCTGGCAAGGTACGCAAGATCGGCAGAACTTTCCGACCATATCCATCATCCCATCCCATTAGTACAACTCACTTATCTTGGCATTCGTGGCTTATACCCCTCGATGTCCTCCTGCAATACCATCGTGAAGCGCTGCTACGACGTCGATCTGACGATTCCTACCGCAGACGACTCTCCTGGGATTCCCCACTTCCCTTCTCACGAAAAGGTGACCGTCTCGCACTAAGTAGCGCCGCAGCATGCTTTGAGCCCTATCGCTCGCATCTCTTAGCCGCATTTCACATGACAGAAGAAGCCCCAGCTCTAGGTTGATTCCGTCGTACTCCTTTGCACGAAAAGCTTCCTTAATTTTCCCTTCCTCGAACTCGTCGTTCTGACTCTCGGGTATTTCGTTCACATTCCCTGCCGGGTTCAACGAGCCTGACTGGTCTAGGCTTTCCTGCAATAACGTATTGACGAGGAGATACATTCCTCCCATCAGGTCCTYATGCCGTTCTACCTGGCCAGGTCCTTCCTCAATCGTCCTCATATCCTCCACCAGGCTATGCGAGCTGGCCAGCGCTAATTTCATCATCCACTGAACATCCTTGAGGACCAGCTCGGTCCTCCTTTCATATCCGCTCAGCGCTCCCCAAATAGGATAGCCTACACAGCTGGGCACTCGCGGCGACCACTTATTGATATGGAGGCGAACATCTTCTTCCTGATCCAGAAATCCATCAACTGGGGGCGTATTCTCCACCGCCTCCCCTTCCTGCTTATCCCAGTTGATCCGACTCAGCCCGTCTGCCCGGTTCTTACTACCAAGAATCCGTTCTAATTCAAAATTGAACATCCAGATGTACGTCAGCCATCTGGCAATCGTCGGATCCGATGGAACGTAATTCCTTAGAGAGTAGGCCAGGGCGGTCGGATCCACTCTCAAAATAAATCTTCTGCCGAAGACATAGTTCCGGAAGATTCGCAGACAGTGGAGGACAGCAAGGGTCTCCCTCTTGAACTGAGACTAGTTCTTCTCTGTCGTACTGAGAGTCCGACTCTCAAATCGCAAGGGTCTTTCCTTTCCTTCCATGTCTGCCTGTATTAGAACTCCCCCTAAGGCAGTCGGTCCCGCATCCGTTTCGACAATGAAGGGTCGCGTCTCTGTGGCGTCATAATCTGGCGCTCCTAACACCAACCCTCCTTCTCAGAATTCCTCTTTCATTTTTGCCACACCTCTTCTTGTTCCTCACCCCATACCCATTCCTGATCCTGACGGACTAACTTCCTCAGGTGTTCAGTCTTAGCGGCAAAGTTCTTGATGAAGGCCCTCMAAAATCCACACGTACCAAGGAAGCTCCGGACATCAGTTATTGAATGGAACGGAACTGGCCACTCAGTAATTTTGTCCGTCTTCTTCACATCCGGTCTTCGGCCCTTCTCATTGCAGACGATCCCCAAGATAGTCGCTTCCCTCATGCAGTGTCTGGATTTGGCCCCGCTTGCCATGAGGTTATGCTCTTCGAGCAGGCTCAGGACCTTTTCGAGGTCCTGGATGTGTTTCTAGACAAAACGCCTTACCCCTGGTGAGACTTCGTCGCTCTCTTTCACCACCGGCCCCTTCACTGCCAAATCGTCAATGTATGACTGTGTGATATGAGGGCTGACTGACTGCATGGCCCGAATCATGGCCCGTTGGACTATTGCTACTGCGTTGGTCCACCCTTGTGGGGCCAAGTTCATGTGGACTAATCCTCGCGGCGTGTGCATAGTCGTCACCGGCCTATCCGGCGGGTAGACTGGGAATTGATCGTATCCTGAGTAAAGGTCTATAAGCGAAATTATAGGTCTTCCAGCACAGGATTCTGACAGCGCGTCTGCATTCGGCAGTCCTCCAGCATCTCGCACGGTCACTGCATTCAATCTTTGCAAATCCTGCACCCACCGCAGCGTCCCGTTAGGCTTAATAAAGCAGAACCACGGGGACGCATACGGTCCACTTGAATAGTCGGCGACGTGAGTACGTATCTTGCCGTCGAGATAATCCACCACCTTCCTTTCCTCGTCAGGATTGGGATATCGCGCCCCTCTCATGTTCCAAGGCTCGTGTGGCACGGTGTGGATGCRGATCATAGGTATCTTATCTACATCCAGCCTGCCATGCTCCTCGTCACTAAACGTGTAGGCGCGATGCTTCCTCTTCATTAATTCCACCATCAGCGTTCGCTCCTGAGGCAGCAGGAAATCAGACTCCCCTATGATCAACTCCTTCTCGTTCCCTTCGTTGATACGACATGGCCCTGCTAAAGCACTTTCCCTCATTTGCCGAATCAACCCTCGTTCCCTCTCGTAATATGCGTCCTCGTCCTCTGTAATGAGGACGGGTACCGGGCGACACTTCTTATCTACCGTCTTGTACCGCCTTTGAGAACCCTGCTTGAGCCGTCCCCTAAAAAAGGCCGACTCACGGATTGTGTTTGCGCTGATGCGGGGTTCCCTCTACTGCCTGGGAGCCGATATACCAGTTCCAACCTTCCTGCCTCAGGGCATTCCAGAACTTGTTCCCTCAAGGCCTGGATGGCATCCGGATCTGCCATCTCATGTGCGGCCACCAGGTCCATGGCCTTCCCAACATCTGACAGGCTGAGGGAAAATACTTCCACCCTCTCTCCTGCTTCGGGCTCTGCCCA